TCGAATGAAAATATTGAATGTTTTCGCGAATATTTTGCTGTTGGCTATCGTGAACCTGACCCTAGCTTTATTAAAAAGTAATTTCCACGGGTCAGGACAAAAATAAGCCATCTTGAATATCAGTAATACCAATATAACCACAATGCAGAGCGCTACGAAAACGTAATAAGGGGAATATAGTATATTAAGTGGGTACAGACGGAACTCGAAGACATGACTTCTCAGCAGCATTACATTAAATTTAGTTGTGTAAACCAAACATAGGAAGTCTTAAACGTCCTAGTATACGTATTCTATCCATATTATTCAAATTATGGACACGTTTTCAGTGTCATTATTTGTTAAACCACAAATGTCGATACCTTTGCAACAGGAGCGATCGAAGACAACTTTATATATATATATATATATATATATATATATATATATATATATATATATATATATATATATATATATATATATATATATATATATATATATATATATATATGTATATAATCGTGATGATTAACATATATACGGCTGAAGAAGACATGTTACTGTCGAAATGGTATACAAATTCGGCATGGCTTTGGTGAGTGGCCATGTGGGTGTGCAGGAATGGTTGTGACTGGTTGGATTCGAATATACCATTGGGCTGATAGCTCAGTTGGTAGAGCGATGGGCTTGTAACCCAGAGGTCGCCGGTTCGAATCCGACTCAGTCTCAACTTTTCCTGTTCACTAAAATATACTTACCTACGGTGATTAACATATATAAAAATTACAAATGCCTTATCGTGATGATTAACATATATATATATATATATATATATATATATATATATATATATATATATATATATATATATATATATATATATATATATATATATATATATATATATATATATATATATATTTATATACCGGGTGTCCCAAAAAAAAGTACTCCGATTTGATTCTTAATAACTTCTAAACAAGTAAAGCTATCGAACAGAAATAACTTGCATTAAATAGAGAAAGGACTAACTTAGATTTTGATATATTACAGTTGTATTTTACTTAAAAATTCACGGAGATATTAATGTTCAAAATCGGGAGCATATTTTGCGATGCGTCTAAAATTAGCGAAAATCGGCATATCAAAATATTAACTTCAGCGTTTGTTTGCTTAATGACATGTCACGCTAACTTGTATTTCAGCGAATTGTCGTTAGGGTTTGTAAGGGATATGGCGTAGATTTAGACATCTTATATGTAAGTCTTAACTCATTGTTTCCTGAAATATATATGTATATATATATATAATATAACGTTCGAAATTATCCAAGTATTTAATAGGTCTTTACAAACTTAAAGGTACATGCATGAAAGACCATGCAAGGCAGGCGCTTAAATTTTTATTAAATGGCCCACTTTTTTATGTTTTTCATGCATGGGTTCAAAACAAAGTTGATTATTTCTCGGTTAGAGCAGGATGGATATTATTCCTTAATGAAGGAAATAATATTGCTTTTTGCAAATGCACATCACAGTATCAACGCTTCTGTTTTGTTACGTTTTGTTCCAAAAATGTTGGATGTCTCTGGGGAGTTGCTTGTTATGTCTTTACTTATGGAGTTGTATGGTTTGATCGTGTTTGATTCTCAGTTTATTCTGAACTTGCCAAGATTAAGAAAGGCAAAAGAGTTTGGGTGTTTTAACAAGATTTCAGAACGTTGCAGAAGTTAGAAAATTCATTCAATGTGAAGTTAGAAAATTCACAATTCCATTGCCATGACAGCATGCCCTAATTCAAAACTATACGAACGATCCAAGACGATCCTTCGCGATGCAGTGGTCTCATGAAATAAGGAAAAGTATTCGTGCTAGGAACACACGCGGATTTCGGACAAATAAATCTTGCTTGTATTTTGTAGATAATAATACTTTGTTTTATAATAAACAATTTTTCAAGTGTCTCTTAATTACTGGTAATAGTGCATATTTCAATCGGAAAAATCTTGATTATTATTTGATACGCCGTTTTTTGCATATTTCAGATACATCCAGAAATATGCTCCCGATTTTAAACATTAATATCTCCGCGAATTTTTAAGTGAAATACAACTGTAATATATCAAAATCTAAGTTAGTCCTTCCTGTATTTGATGCAAGTTATTTCTCTTTAAAAGCTGTACTTGTTTAGAAGTTATTACGAATCAAACCGGAGTACTTTTTTTTGGGACACCCGGTATATCACTAAATATATATATATAAATATACTCACTAAAAATTCAGGAGCAAAACACAAAGAAAAATCATAAACGTGTCGTGGTTTTATATGTGATAAAAAATATATCCAATATACATTTTGATGCATACAATATTTGTTATTTTTATTAACTGTATAAACAGGACGCTGGAATATTCCGGTATTACTTAAACAACCCCCACGCAAGTTGATAGAACGGATCATTTATTTTTTTATAAACATCCAGGTCGATGAAAAGTCATTTCCACGTTTTCCCTATGCCATTTGTTTGTTTAAGCGTAAAATCTGATTATTTTACAATTATTCTCTCAAGGCAAGGTGATTAACGGTGAATAAAAGCCGAGCCGAAGTCGAGGTTTTTATCTAGTACGATAATCACGAGCCTGAGTTAAATAATTATAAATAATTTCATGGGTGATTATTTGGGGAAAAAATATACATGTCTTCGTCATTTAATTGACAAAACGGTTTCGGCCGCAATTTCGAGAATCGCTTACTAGGTGATTATCGCGTTGTAACCGTACCTCAACGGAAACAATTATAGCGTTGAAATTTTTCAATAATTAATCATCTATATATGTAATTATAGTAAAATTAAGTAAAGGCGAAGTTGATATATACTAGCATTGGATACTTTTTGGAGTTTTGAAAGTCCTGTTAATTTCAAAATAATCATGAGTGCATGCATGCTTTAAGTACCAAATTGAGTCTCGGCATACTCTAACTCCCTGTCAGTCTGAGAGCAGAGCCTGATTTCCCCTCACGAACAGTAAACTGTACTAAATTTCATTGCTTGGGTAAAATTCTTGCAAGTGTATATTTTAGGAAATGAATAATATGGATTCCGATATACTCGCATACGAAGTCGGTAGTTTAAACTTCCTAATGAATAATAATTTTGAAGACGTTCTCTGGTTTTAAATATTGTAGCATATGCATCAAAATGTATTGGATATATACGTTGTCTTCGATCGCTCCTCTTGCAAAAGGTATCGACATTTGTGGTTTAACAAATAATGACACTGAAAACGTGTCCATAATTTGAATAATATGGATAGAATACGTATACTCGGAGGTTTGAGACTTCTTATGTTTGGTTTACTGAACTGAATTTAATGCCATGCTGCTGAGAAGGCATGACTTCGAATTCCGTCTGGACGCACTTAATATACAAGATTCCCCTTAGTAGGTTTTCGTAGCGCTTTCTATTGTGCGTTACAGTGGTATCACAGATATTCAAGATGGCTTATTTTTGTCCTGACCCGTGCAATAACTCTTATAAAAAAGCTATAGGGTCAGGTGCACGATAGCCAACAGCAAAATATTCGCGAAACATTCAATATTTTCATTCGAGGCCGCTATCTTTATTAGACTGCTACCTTTTAGACTTAGTACAGTTTACAGTTCATCAGGGGAAATCAGGCTCTGCTCTCGTGGTGACAGGAAGCCAGAATATTCAATTCCGTCACTTTATTTTGTCCTTAAAGCAGTCATAATTATTTTGAAATAAACCGAACCTTTCAAAACTCCACCAAAACTTAAATCAAAAACATTGTATGCTAGTATATATATTGGAATCCATATATTATTCTGTGCATATAAAAGATGCAAGATATGAATTTTGTAAATACATGCGAATGTTAAAGTTCGCTATTATATCCCTGGAACTAAATTCTGAACTTCTTGCACTACTACAATTCCTGAAAACAAAACTTCTGTTAAGAAGCTGGAAGAAATTATCATTTCCACGTTTATCAATTTATAATCAAATTTTACGAAATAAACGAGTAAATTAATTATGGGAGGTATAATAATGTAGATAACAATTCCTCGATTCAAACAGGTACAGAATGATAATTATATATAAACATAAGCAACAAACCGTTTCATGGACCTATACATGGGAGGGGTTTGCTTATGTACGAACTCAAGTGGCGGAATATTCCCGAAGAAAGCATGTTAATTGTTTCTTAAAATAAACAAAAATTTTTGAAAGCTTGTAGACGTACTCTGGTTTTAAGTGTTTATTTTTTACGAACTTTCAACTGCCAGTCGTAGGCTGAGTCGAAAGCTTGTAAGACTACAGACTAGTAGTCGAAAGCTCGTTATAAATAAATAAATAAATATTTGTTATTTTTGAGGAAAGTTTTATTAACTCTATAAACAGGACGCAGGAATAGTCCGCTATTACTTAAGCAACTCCCACGCAAGTTGGTAGAACCGGATCATTTATTTTTTAATAAACACCCTTTCCTACAGTTTAAGGTCAATGAAAAGTCATTTCCACGTTTATCCTATGCCATTTGTTTTTCCCCGAGGGTATAATAATTCTCTCGGCTAGTTACACCCGTGGAAACGAAAACATTAGCGAAGTCTACAGTTCATCAATGATTGTGGGCGCTCGCCAACGACTTGTGAAGTGTAAATTTACACTTTTCTTGGTGTATCGTTACACCTAGAACGAGTTAAAATACACTGAGCTGCAGTGAAGTAGAAACTAATGTATTAACTATTATTGCAGTGTAAATTTACCCTTAACCAGCGTAAATTTAGCCAATTTTTGTGTATGGGCTAACACCATGATATTAGAGACCTTAAGATTGACGTTTACGGCAAACGTCAAACCGCTAGCGCATGCAGTTTTTGATTTTACAACTCTATTATTATAGCTTTTTCACCAGTTTTGAAATATGTTAGACTTATTAAACTTGTGCTCTTTAGCATTGATTTAAGAAAGCAAATTAACCACAAATCATGCCATTCACCAAGGCAGTAAATTAAGATTTGGCGTTTGAAGTTGACGTTTGGCGTATAAATTTCATGCTTTAACGACTACAAGCCCTCGTAGCAGTTCAAGCATGAAATTTGTACGCCAAACGCCAACTTCAAACGCCAAATCTTAGTTTACTGCTTTGGTGAATGGCATGACTAGTGGTTAATTTGCTTTCTTAAATCATTGCTAAAGAGCACAAGTTTAATAAGTTTAACATATTTCAAAACTGGTGTAAAAGCTATTATAATAGAGTTGTAAAATCATAAACCTCGCTAGCGGTTTGACGTTTGCCGTAAACGTCAATCTTAAGGTCTCTATTGTAAATATATACACCGGTGTGGTGTAAAAAATATGAATGCTTACTCAGTCTAAATCTACGCTGAACCTGGTGTGTAATTACGCGAAGACGATTTTAAGATACACTGATCCTGTGTAAAGTAGAAGCCAATGTATTAACACCTTTTGTGTTGTAAATTTACCCTCAAACGGTGTAAATTTAGCCAATTGTTGTGTATGAGATATGATAACACCATGATAGTGTGAATATACACCGCGGTGGGATAGTCTATGTGGCGCGGGTCGCGAGTCGATAGAAATTAATGGCGCGGGTCCAGCGAAAATGGCGCGGGTTCAGTGAAAATGGCGCGGGTAACAAGTTCCGAGGCGCGAGTAAAAAGTTCTGAGGCGCGGGTAACAAGTTCCGAGATCAATTGGCCTGTACTTACATTCAAGATGACGGCTATTTTGACCATAAAAAATTCAGCAATAATTATTCGGTCAAATATTGTCTCATTCTGTGGAAACTCTGCGAGCTTTACACTTAAACAATTAACTCACAGACATCAATTAACTGAAGTAAATCACGTTTGAAGGCGTTAAGTACAGCATATTTCTAAACAGAAAGAGAGTGGACAGTTGGAAATGGTCAAATTGAATATTTGGAAGGAGTCACTGTCAATATATTTTTATTATTATTATATAGTAATACTAGTCTGTTAATTAGGGCAAAAAGATAATTTATTTTGGTATGAAAACCCCACAATATTCTTACCATTTTTTACGCCTTAAAAATTATAGTATAATATACCAGTAAACTCAGTTGCCTGATTTTATTCACATATCATGACATTTTTACTGATTTAATTATATGATCAGTTTGACATATTTCTGAATGCATTTTATAGCCTGGTCGCTGACCAGGGGCCCACAGCAAAAGGGGGCACATTTCTGATGTAACAAAAAAAAAATAATTATCTAGATCTGGTATTCAGCACCCTTTGTGTTTCATAAATTCATAAAGCAAAATCCTGTGGCATCATGTGTATCATCTGTGGGCCCATGTGTATTTTTATATTTCAAAAGTAAAATCGTCAGGCATTTGACAGCCGTTCTAAAGTGGGGCGAAGTACATATGCTAATATCTAATAAATTGAGGGTGAATGTGCTAACTAAAATAGTTAACTAAAATAATGTAATAGCAATGATGACAAACTATTGTTTACTACATGAAAATTGTGTTTATTTACAACTTGTTTTGACCAAATCCATCTCATGGGATGCATTCTATGCAGCTTGACAGGCTTGCAAGGTAGGTACCTCCAACGGTTTTCGAATGTTTATATTGTAAATATTAAATTATTACTGTTAAACTGTTTATCATTGACATCATTGCAAAAATTATTAATTAACTCATTCCGTGAGTAGTATAGTAGATACCGTTCGACCCTTATTTCTGTGATGGAGTGTGGTGGAATGTGAGGTGGTGAATGTCCACCACAGCATTTATTTATTAATATTTCTCCACATTTGAATATTATGAGGGGTCGTAGGGTGGAGTGTGGCGAAGTTGAGAATGCGGTGGAGTACTGTCGTTACTCATTAGTATACAATGCGTCATAATTATATACATTGACGTCACGCGAGCAAGTTTGGGGGAGATCGTGTGTGATACAATAGAGGGATTAAGATTGGCTTACTATGATTGGTTCGAGTCCCTCACATGGCAGGGTTATAGCCGTATCTTTGCTCGGAAGAGATAAATTTCCACAGGTATATTGAAGGATTTTTCGTATGTTTACAAAATTATAGTGAGGAATCTATTCGTCACAAAAATCGAGACATATTTTAAACAGAACTAAACAGTTGGTAATCCCAGGTTAACATGGTTGTCAACGTCGTTGTTATTGTCAATATTTGCATGTTGTTCAACATTATTTAGCAAACCTCCTACATACATATATACTGTTAAGATGACCGAGTCAGATCATAAGAAAGCTTACCAAGAACTCTTCGAGAAAAACTTTTAGAACAGTTGTCATATATTTTGCCATAAAAATAAATATGTTTTTATCAAATATGCGGTCGTTATATACGTTGCTATGTGTTGCTAGTCATCAGCGACGCATGGATGCATGCATATATTAATGTACAAATATATGTACACCAATCAGGCGGATGGGTTAGGCAACTCGTGCGGGCGGGAAAGAGCGGGCTTTGCAGGCAAAAGTTTGCAAAAGAATTGAGTTTTAAAATACATTTATTTCTTTAAAACATTTTACAAAATTTATTACGGTTTACTTCTAAGAGCGTAACGTCTAGGTGTTTTTGTTATCTTTAAAGAATTCTCATATTCTTGTCTATCTTCTGGGGATAACTTTGCAAGTTTCTCCGGCTTCATTGGAATATATTTTGGATAAAACGTTCATAATCCTCTCTTGCTTCTGTAGACATTCGTGCTAGGTCACGTTCGCTGATTGATCAACCCAATTGCTCCGAGCCGAGCTCCCTAGGCTCAAGTCAGCTCCATAGGCTCCGAGCCGAGCTCTATAAGCACCGAGCCGAGCTCCATAAGCTCCGAGCCGAGCTCCTAGGCTAATAAAAAGTAAATATATACACATTGTTCAACTCTTTTCAACAAGGCGTTCAAGCAAGTTGTAGTTGTTCGTAGTTGGACCATGACTCAGTGTTGCCGGTGTAACGGGAATGGGACATGCAGATCATGTATTTGTGCTAGGAACAACCGCATTTGCACAAATTTTAAGCCAGGGAAAGATAAACGATGTGAAAATCAAAATCAAATAGGAAATTTGCCCAGCTTACTTCAAGATGGATCGACATCGCACGTTAATCAACACCAAGAACCCGAAAGCGATGAAAATGACGTAATAATTTCAGAACACACACCAGATTATAGCCCAATGCAGTCTCCAGTGTTTCGATGGGGTGAAGTCGAAGGCGAAGCACTTGCTCAAGCTATCCAAGAAAGCTATAAAGAAGTGGTTCATTGGAGACGAAACTTGTTTAAAACTCCATCTGGCCAGGCTGGTAAATCCTTTGTGCGCGAGCTTGCTCGAATGTTTCAAGCTTATCTAATTATTATTATTATTATTATTATAAATTTCCAAACTAGCAGTAACAACTGAATTACTTTGGAATTACAGGGTATAAGAACATAGGTATTCAATCTATTCTATATTTACAGGTAAGAATAGGTAAGTTAGATAAAAATAACGATAATAATCTAAAGTTTACTTATTATTATAAGCACGAGACGCAGCAGGAATGAAACTGTTCGAAAAACGTTCAGTTCTACACCTAGGTACTAATAAGTTGGGATAAGACCTCAGATTACAAGTTTGAAGACTTTTAGGCGGTACTAAGGCATTCAGTTTATGAGTGGGTTCCAACATCTTCGAAAAAAGTCGCTTGCAAAGAACAGTTCTACGTTCGTAAAGAGTCATGAAGTTAGCTTTAAGCAAACATTCAGCATAGATAGTTCCAGGGAAAATAATTTTTAATGCCCTTTTTTGTATTTTTTCAACTTGATCACTTAGGTAATGAGGAAGGCCATAATGCCACACCTAACAAGCATATTCGACAATTGGTCGAATATGTGTACAATAGGTTGAGATCAGAATATGAGAAGGTAAAGCATTTCTTTTAAGAAAGTGCAGACCGTACAAACGCTTCGCGGCTTTCTTGCAAATGTAGTCAATATGGCAGTTCCATTTGAGGTCGTCCGAAAGGACAACGCCCAATAGTTTGGCCTCTGAAACGACGTCGACCTCTTGACCGCGAATGGTAATAGGGGCAAACGATGGAGTACGCTTAGAAAAGCAGACACGCAATTCTTTGGTCTTTGATACGTTTAACTTCATATTATTGTCTGATGACCATTCAGAGCAGCTGATGATGTTAGCGGGTAACTGGGAAGGGGAATTGTTTGATATTATTTCCCAAAGGCTAGTATCATCGACAAATTTAACAGTTTCATACGCTACAGCCAAGTCATTTATCATGATCAAAAATAATAGCGGGCCAAGCTTCGTTCCTTGTGGGACGCCGGCGTTTAAAAACTTCCACTCAGAAAAGAACTGACCAATAGTCTGGTCGTTGAAGATGAATTGAAAGGGCTACCCGGAAAAAAATGGTATAAAGCTGGTTTTGGTGTCAAATGAAGCGCAATTCTTACTAGAATAACATATACAAAATCCGCAAAAATCGTGTTTGGGGAATTTAGAGGGGAGGGAAGAATTGGGTATAGTTGTTACGGTGGGCTAAAACAATATTTTTTTCATCAATATAAGCGTAATTTTGATAAACTATTTTTTGTGAACTTAGTGTATATATATTAGTTACCTACTTTTTTTACTCTACAGTATATAAATCTAAGAATCACCAGTCTTCATCAACTGGGGCTGCCTGTGGTACATATAAACAAAATGGCGTCCTGTTCTACAACTTGTTTTTAACTTATATTGAAGAAATTCTTTCATTTAAAGGATAAATACGAAACAACAAATCGTGATCCAAACATCTAAAATAAAATTTAACCCTCACTTGGAAGGTAAAGAGCCTAAAACTAAACTAATATTACTGGAAAATAATTTTTGATATTTGTTGATCACAATTTAATTCGTTATTTGTCAAGATATTATTTCTACCGCGATTATCATGGGATATTAGAAAGCACACGTAATCTTTTTAAGATTTAGTTTTAGTGACTGTGACTTTTTGTTGTATTATTCAACATTCTGTTCGTCACGCCGTGTTCATATTGACCAATATCGACTAACTACTGAAATTTATCGTTTTAGATTATGAAATAATTATTCAATATAGCTAGGCATAGACATGTTTAATAAGTTAAGATTTATATTATTATCTTTATCGATTTCAATAGTGTAAATCGCATTACAGAAAAGTAAATAGGTACTTGCGGATAAAATTTCATTCAACTGAATTACTACTGTGTGCGTTTTCGTGTTGAGCCAATGATATATTATAGCCTATAATATTAAAAATAAAATTTAAAAATATGCTACAACTAAAATAGTTTAAATCTACTGATGGACAGAACTATAGAATACGATGATTACTTGTTAACCCATCCATCTCTCTATCTGTCGCTGTGTGTAGGTCATGCATCGCTAAAGGACACCATAAGAAAATGTCCGATGTTCAGGAAGACTCTTGCATAATTTGTAAGCAAGGATTTGATGAGCAACAATTCGTAACTGTATCAAAAAAGGGCATATTGACCCTCATCAGCTACAGCGAAAAACGTGGCCTGTCAGATCTCCAAAGCTATTTAACTGAACGTATTAACATAGCACCTATTGGCAACACCGCGGAAAAATGTCTGCGCATGCGTCTACCTTACTTGTAATAGTATTGCGAACTTGATGAGAAGCTGTTCCGAACGTTTCCGAAGGCTCAAAATGGCGGTAAAAAGGAGTGACTTCATTGTGCGTCTTTACAACCAGATTTCGAGCGCAAAAATAAACATGTCATTCTAAAAACTAGGAATAAATACAGCGAGAAGGTTCAAGAAATTGTATTGTACAAGAACATGAACTAAAGGTGATTGTTGACAAATTTATCGTCTGAAACATTTTGTTTAACAACTAAGCAACGATAATTTCCGAATTTTCGTTTGAGATACATTTCCTTAAAAAAAACTGTGTCGCCAAATATGAAAACTTTTCGTGTTCACAATAATCAAACTTTAGAATTTATTCTACAATTTGAGTGGGTTAAGAAGCTTAACTTTTCGAGAGTTTTCTTAACTTTTGAGTTTGAATTTTTGTTTTGAATAATTTTGCAAAAATTTTCGAAGTCGTGTCCGTTAAAATGAACAATTTTTTACATGAATTATATTTCATATCATACTTTAAATGCCAAGACGCTGTCAATTAATGTCTAGTCTACCCATTTGCTATATTTTCTCGTTTGTTTTACTAATTTTTGACCAATTAATAAGCATGTTTTTGTTTTAGAAATTGATATTCAAATTCCCCGCCATATTTTCATAATTTGATGCATGCGCAGACGTTTTTCCGCGGTGTTCCTATTGGCAAAGTGTTGGTTCATGCAAAGTGCCGGAGAGACTTTACAGACTCAAAAAGATTGATTTCTAGAAATTTAGAAGTGCCTTGCGCAAAGAAACTGAGGTATAGTTCACTTCCATTTAACTGGAAAGATGACTGCGTATTTTGTGGTAAATCTGCAGCAATTGATAAGCGCCATCCTGAGAGATCACCAGTGTGCGCAGTGACAACCCTTCCATTCCGTGAAAAACTTCTAAAGTGCTGTGATGAGAGAGGGGACTCATGGGCAGCTGAAGTTCAGAATCGTTTACATGGATGTATTGACTTAGTTGCGGCTGAGGCCGTCTATCATGTCAACTGTTACTCACGATTCGTGCTAATTAAAAATTACAATGCAGCATCAACACACAAAAAAGGTGAAGGGAGACCGGAAGATCAAGGAATGAGGCAATGGTTTGACATGCTATGCCACTGATTGGAATCTGAAGGCGATGCAGATTTGTACACGCTCGCAGAATTACATGCTAAGATGACCGAATTTAGTGGTGAATCAGAGGTTTACACTATTAAAAGGCTTAAACAAAAGCTGTTAGAGCAGTATAAAGATTTCATATTCTTT